ATGTAAATTCATCCAGGGTAGAGAATCTATGCACGTGCTAAAAAATTTAATATTATTTTAAATTATAATTTTATTTAGGCAAAGATTTGGTATAAATTTATTGAATGCAAACAATACTTTATGCATCATAGAGTTTGCATTGAGGACAATGCAAAATTTAGGTGTGGGGGGGTGGGAATTAGTTTTTTTCTCTTTATTTTACATTTTTAGTTACATTTTTGTTTTCTTTCCCCTATTTCTTAAAAAAAAATTATAAAAATATCGTCACTTGCCAAATTGATGGAGTTATGTAATAATTGATTTAGTTGATAAATTTAAAATTTTCTAATCCCTAGTTAGTTATTTACTTAAGTTCACCTTTTATGATAACTCTAAATAAATTTCTTAAGAAATGATTTTCAAAGTAGTATACTTTATTTAAGCCTTAACTTGGATTTTTATTTAAAATAATGAAATTTTTGCATGCTTAACTTAGAGTTGAAAATAAATTTTTCATGGCTACAATCTACTTTAACTAAAGTAGATAATAAATCATTGGATCATCTACAAAGAATTATATTAAAAGTTGTCTACAAAACTCCAATGTTAAGGGATATTCTGAAGAAAATTTATTAAGTGGATATGTATCTTCAAAGAACATATAGCATTGAGTTCATCACTCCCAAGTATTTCTTCTCAAGTTTTCATTGAAGCAACTAAGGAACCAAGCCTCAATTTCTTGATGGCCAAATTTGATGGCATTCTAGGACTTGGATTCAATGAAATATCGGTTGATGATGTGGTACCTGTATGGTATGCTTCTATACCTTGATTATGGATATTTATGATGGCTAATGAAAAATAATCCTTCATCACATAATTGTTAGAAGAAAACAATAAACATAATAAGGGAAAACGTTAGTAAAAAGTCACAAACATTAAGAGGTAAATTGAAAGAAAACAGTAAATGCGACATCTGATTCTATAGACAATTATGGAACATAGATTCTTTGGAATATTTCAGTGTATATGATGGATTATGCAAGCATCTGGCTGCATTTTTTAAGACAATCATCTGAATGCATTTATAAACAGTTATCTATCTTAATTACATTTATTTTCAATTAAATGAGTTGAATGTAAGGTATTTAGAGATTGTAATGTTATAGAAGGTAATGAATAAAATTTTGGAAGAACCATATTGATAGATATCCAAGGATCGATGAACTAAAAATACTAAAACCAACTCAATTATGACCCATAAAATTCTCAGAAGTAGAATACTGGCAGAAAGTAAGAAATTATCAAACAAGGATAAAATCGCTGAGGATTTCTTTATTAGCAATCCTTGTTTTCATTATGGAAACGTTCGGTTTTATATGCCGAGATGATGGTTAATGTGAGCAAAAAAGTTAAGGGCTAATGGAAATCAATCTTCATCAAGTCTAAGCAATGTAAGAGAAACCAAGTTACCTCTGGCTTAAATATGTTCATTACTGAAAAAAGTAGCTGGTCACCAATCAACACTTTGACCATTTTGACAAGTTTGGCTCTATTGATGTATTTCGACAATAGGCGTTATTATGATAAATCAGTTATATTAGCTTGGATGAAAGATTTTTAGCAATAAATATGGCACATACCTACTCAGGAGTTTTTTTTTATAATATCGATTTTGAGATACACCTTGCGCAAGCAGCTTCTTCACCCTACCATCTGTATAAAGTTCAGACAGGAACTCATGCGCTTCTGCAATTAAGACTCGTCCACAAGGCATATAAACTAAGCTTTGCCATTGCCCTGTTGAATAGAATCTGAGAGGATATGTCCATGATCTGAATCTCTTCTTTCAAAGGACTCATCAACAATCTTCTCAGATGTCTTCTTCTGTTGCTTGGTCTTTCCCTTCCCTTGTTGATTAATGAGCTCGTCATCAAGATTGTACACAAGCCTCTTCTACAAAACTTCTCAGTTTAAACAAGAAAAAAATCATAAGTTATTCCAGAGAAACTATAATATAACTTTTACCTCATCAGCTTCAGATGTGAAAGGTTCTTGTAGGTCTGCATGAACACATCAAAGAAGGCAAGATAGACAATAGGCTCTCAAAAATTTTAGGTTGGTATATTTTTTTTAGAAACCATGCATGTTTAGATACCGACCAAATGCTTATTGTGACTCATGAACATAAGAAATATAATAAAAGTTAAGACTACTCTAATAATATAAGATAGATGATATGAAGTACGAACTTAAAGGGTGGGCAATATGAGGAAATTCTTTAACTATGTGAATTCTCATGTATCTTCTAATTTATAGTAATAAGCATTAAAATACTATCTGAACGTAACACAAGATACTTCCAGTCCTAGGCTATTTAGGAATATATCAGAGGATATACATTTGCCTAAGGCCCTAAACCTTATCGTGCATGCCAGCATGACCCTACATGCAAAATAAAAAAAATCGTACAGGAAATAAGATACATTTATCACATGGATCTCCCAAATAAAGAATCCATTACAACCAATCCTCAAATTTTAGACTGCTCCAGGAACATGATTGTCAATTTTATAAACAACAAGAGTACTTAATAATGTTTAAGTCCTAGATAATCAAATTTCACATCAAGCAACACCATCCTCCTCAACAGAAAAGTGACTATCTACAAGTGACACAGACACGAGTCTCATATTCATCATGGTCATTGGGGTTAACAGCCGTCCTTTGACTCCTCGGGTCTAAGGCCGAGAGGTATCACCTTTTGACTTGATTACGTGAGATGTTGCCTGCACAATGGGCCGAATCGCATCACTGGCATTCAATTGAGAGGTTGATTGAGTAGTACCGCCTTTTGACTTGGTTACGCGAGATATCGGCCAATCAAACCGGCCGTGCCGAGTCAGATATTTTCTTAGTTGTGACTTAGTTTGGTTAGGCAGAGTGTAAGACATGTGTCAACTTCTCAGTGGTGATTAATACTTAGCACTTTTAGGGGTAATAATATAAGTCTTTTAGACTTTCTACATAAGTTATAACTTCCAGATTTTTTTCTGCAAAATTTGTAATTTATGGATGTTTTTTGGGATCTTAGTGAGTTATGTGGACTTTTATGCAAAATATTCAATTTATGAAAATTTTTAATATTTTTGTGAAATTTCTAACTTCATTGACCTTTTTTTTTGCAAAATATGCAAAGTATGTAAGGCTCTTGGCATTTCTACAAATTTACCTGTGCTGAAGACTTCTTTAACAAAATTAACAAATTTGTGAATTCTTGAGCTTTTATATGCCAATTTGCTTATTCATGAAGCTTCTTAAGTTTATTTTTTAATTAAAATATTTTTTTCTCTTAATAGGGGTTCAATCTTGGGTTTGGCCTAGTGAATACTTGGTTTATTTTTTAAAAAAAATACAAAAATTTGATGGACCAATATGAAATTATTGAAGTTTTAGGTAACTAATATCTAAATGACGCTTCTTTCGAGATCCACTTCGTTTTTAATCCTTCTATTTATTATACGCAAGAGAGAAGGAGAATGGTTAGGAGGGTCGGTAAATTGCATAATTTCGAGCACCAACGTCCTTCGTACACATTTCACAAAAATGAAATCTCTGTTTTCTTTAAGCACAAAAGAAAAGAGAAGGAAAAGTGCTTGAGAACAAAATAATATGCATAAAAAGGGCTCGTATAATCATCTGATTTTAAAGAATTTTTACATAACATATATCATACTATATTATGAATTATAATCTTATGAAATTTTCACATATAATATATCATATTTCTGTATTATTGTTATGCAATATTTACATAACACATCATATTTCCATATTTCTTGAGTAATATAATATCTATAAACATGTACAAATTTCACATAATATATATCATATTCACATAATATATATCATATTTCAGTATTATGAAAGACAAATGTTTTTTCTTTCATTCTAAACTCCCGTTAATGGAAACATGCTATTGGAGAAATATTGGTTTCTTTTAATTATGAACTCCTGCTCCTAACCCACAAGAAACGTCCCAAAGAACAATACACATGTATAAACTTAGCCCTCCAACACAAAAGCTAACTCCAAAGACTAATCACACCAAAACCCCTTTCTTCAAACTATTATCTATAGGAAACCAAAAGGGAAAAAATCAAAAAGGAAAAAAAAAACCTCCTGTTAACTTTCTTTCACACTTTGGCCTCTAAAAGCAAACAAGAAAATAGTTCAAATGCATCTTCTCTATACCAGTATTCCCCTAGCTAGCCAATAAGCAAAAATTTGCTACTTGAACTTCCTTCGAGGAGCAAAATCATCACTCGTCCGTCTTCGCTCCTTGAAAAGTTGGAAAAGGAGACTATTTGTACAACGGTTCAGTTAAATATTGGTCAGCCATAGGATCGGATCTTGGGTTTAGGTTGAGTAGAATATATATAGGATAGAAGAAAGGGGGTTACTCATAATGAGAAACTGAAGGGTTGGTGGTTTTATTTTGAGATTAAGGAGAATTAGAAGCATCAGTTGTGAAATTATGTTAGTGATTAAAGGAAAAATTGGTGGACATTATTAGGGATGGGTTGTTAGTTCTGAGGTTTATGATGATGATGGGTGTTTAATGAGGATGAGGATGACGTTAGAGAATTTGAAAGGGTAGTGAGAGGATGATAAAGTATAGGGCACTTTGGTGATTATGCATGAAATTTTGAGGGTATTATCGAAAAAAAGTAGATTGGATTGGATTTGATGGGAATTATAAATTTGTGAGTAACAGAATTTTTTTTTCTTTGTTAAGTTAATGAAATAAAAGATGAGGACAACTTTGTTATATTTACAATAGTTGAAGGGTAATTTAGGGTAGGGAAAGTTTTTTTGGAACTCCCTCTTTTAAAGGGTACATAGATAGATATATTGGATCACGGTAGCAGAGCTAGTCTGGAAAATAACGGGGACCTTGCTGGCCAAACCACGAAAAGAAAATTAAATAAATGTCCGTGCATCGCAGGGGTTCAGGGGCTTCAAACTAGAAAATCCAAATAACTTTGACCTTTTATTCGGATGCAAATAAATATCTCGTAAAACGCGGCCAATTAAAGGCTAATACTTGGAAACGAAGGAAAAGCCCAGTCCCTTTCCTTCTCATCTTTTAATTTCTTTATCATCATCATCATCTCAATACTTCAACATAAAACTTTCAAAATTGAAAAAATAAAAATAAAATAAAATAAAAATAAAGGGTAAGACCCTTTCCCTTCTCAGCCCAAGTTTCCTAATTTAGGTCTCCTTCTCTCTTTGATTTTTGACGATTGCTTGGTAATTTAATTGTCAAGTTTCTCTGATTTGGGCAGACCGAGAGGAGCGGAAATGTGTTTCAAGTTGGTTTTTCGATCTCTGCAAGAGGTCTTTCCCCAGGTAATTTCTGATCATTTTCTTTCGTAGATACAAAATTATGATACAGTTTCACTCTGGGTGGTACTTTGATCCTTTTGTGTATGAAAGAAAATTAAAGCTTTGATTTTTGGTAAGATAGCTTCATTTTGTTCCTTGTCCATGTGCTCATTTTTGTCTGTAGTGTCATTTGGTTTTACTTGATATGCCTGATCATGGATTGATTCATTACTTTGTTAGGTTAGGGTTTTGGTTTTGGAAACATATTTGACATCATGTTGAATGAAGGGATTGTCAAGTTTTTTTTATTTATTGTAAACTGAGTTAATTGGATCATTGGTTGTTTGATTTATCTCCTAATTGGACCTTCGTACTTGTGTTTTAATTGCTTGCATCACCGGTCATGTAATTGAATATAAAATGGATTACCAGTCACTTCTAACATTTTTTTGTCAATTTTAGCTGTATATTTTCATACATTTTTAAGCGACACAACTTACTCAATATGTCACAAATAGATATTTTCAAGAATAAAATGTCAAACGCAATATAGTTATCCGATAAAATAACTCTGTCATGTCAAATGATCAGGATGTTTTTTATGTCACGTCACTGAAATCCGTTATTTCAACTGACAAAAAGCATTAGAAGTGACTACTGATCCAATTAGTATTTAAGTACATGACTAGCTATCAAGCAATTAAAACATAGGTGTGATCATCCAATTACGTGATAAATATAGTGCCAAATGATCCAATTAACCCTTGTAAAAGGATATTTTTAATTGATTTTATAAAGTCGGACTAAACATACTTCCAATTAATGATAATTAGATTATGCTTCTATATTTTTTTGTAGTAGTCATAATAGTCAAAATAGTTTACTTTTCTTTCTCCAAGGTGGTAAAAATCTTTGTGAAATAATTGCCTTGGAGAGTTTGGATTCATGCGTGGAAGAGTAAATATATTAAATAATTTATAAAAGAAAAATATTCTGTTTTCAACGTTATCAGTTTCTTAAGTTACTGTAACCTGAAATGAATTGTTAGGTTACTCTTTTCGTGTTTTGGTCAGTGTGGTCTTTGACAACTACCCTACCTCTCAAATCTTGATATTTGCTAATTTGCCTCTCCCAATTCGTTCTTAGACCCAGCAGTCTTATCTCTCCAGCTAACTTATGTTAGATTTCTAAGATGATGAATGTAAACTATATTCTATCCTCTAGTTCTTCCTTCATATTTTAGCCAAACCCATGGATAAAAGGAAGGGATCATATCCAACTGGGTTCATGATCTTGATAAAACAAACTCTCAGCTGGGTATATACGATGAGAAATCAGGTATAAGGCTTGGTGTCCAAAGTGAGTCGTATTCAAGGGAGAGGTAGTTCAGATAGTCGTCCATGTTTTCTACAACTGCATCTTCATATAGAAACAAGGATTCGTCGGTTTCCCTCTGCTGTCGTTTTTGTTATAGGTTGTGAAGGATATGGGAGTGAGATGAGAAGGTGATAGGGTTTAGGAAGAGGGATTAGAGAAGAAGACAAATAGAGTTGAGCAAGTTGGTGTAAGGGAAGGGTTGCAGGTGATTGTAGAGAGAAAGAAAATTGGGAAATATTCAAGACTGATCCTTTCATAGTAATGGTAAACAGTAAACTAATGGATCTGGACATGGATCGAGGGTGATGAAAAATATTAATGTTTAGAGGTTAATTTTCAAAAAACTCAAATTTGAGGGTAGATGAAAGTCTTATTAATATTCTTTTGGATCAGAACTTTTTTAGCAGTTACATTTCATGAATCATCCTTTGATTGTCAGTAAATTCTTTTTTTGCAGGTTGATCTTCGTATACTCAAGGCTGTTGCAATTGAACATCCTAAGGATGTTGACGCAGCTGTTGAATTTGTTCTTTCTGAAGTTCTACCTTCTTTAAATGAACAAACCGAGGAATTATACACACTTGATGGATTTGAACGTTCCCCAGCTGAAGGTTAGTACAGCAGTAGTCTAAATTTGTTGGGGATTTCGGTTCAAGCTTTGTAAAATGTTCAGCCAATGCCAGTAATTTAGCATATGCATTGAATCTTGGTTCCTATCAAATTGATTGCATTTTAAAGAGTTAGATAAATTATATCACATATCAGATAAGCTTCACATTCTTTTAACAATCTGTGACACATAGACATGAGTGCAATCATGCCTTGGATGCAGAAAATGCATGCACATGCTATCAATGTTTGTTTGATTTTAATTTTCCATGGCTAACTGCGAATTGCGTTTTGGTGTATTTAGTTGAGGTGCAGGACACTTTTTTGGGTAATCAAAGAGCTGAAGAGGAGAATATAAATCTTCTTCCAGGATCATCAGTATGTTATGAAACTGATCCGCACAGTGATTATTTATTGGCTGCTAATATGGAAGTAGATGGAGATTTGTTATCAAATTTGCCTTCAGAACCAACCTGTGTAGAACGTGAAATGACTGATGTTGCTGATAATGCAAATGCTGCACTTCATGTCAAATCACAGTCAATGAATGATACTGCTAGTTGTTCTTATACCTATATTAGCAATCAGCTTGACTCCAATGAAGAACCACTAGCCATTTTATCAAATGCCAGTGTTAACGGTCAACTAATGTCCAATGAAGATTCTGAAGACCAAGATACTTCAGTAGGGCACATTTCTCGACCACTTCAGGCATTAGAAGGAAATGATCATGGTGGTTCACTTGCTAATGTATTAAGAAATGATTCAGAAATTAGTGATTCTTCCCCACCTGCTATTGCTTCTATTCAGAATATTTCGTCATCTGTTTGTGAAGATACTTCAAATCTGCAGTGTGGAGCTTCTTTGGACCAAGTTGATGACAGTATTTTAGGTAATTCTGCAGAGGAACACTCAAGGAGTATATCTGAAAATGCTTCAGAGTTTGTGGCTCTTGAAACTGCTGGGTCTTCTGGTGCTGAAATGACTACATTAGTAGGTAGCCAGTCGAACAATGTAGTGGGAATGGACACCTTGGAGGATTTTGTATCAGATGTTAGACGCAACAAGGTAACAATTTTGGTATTAACTCATTTCATTTGTGTAAACTGATGATAAATTGCTATCGTTTAGCAATATTAACCTTTCTGGATGTGTAAGTCTGGTATTTTTCTCTGTGGGTAATTATCACCAATAAATCTTGGGAAACCATAAGACTAGAATCAACAGATGTGAGATTCTTTCTAGACTTCATTTAGTAACATCATCCATGATGATAAAATAAAACAATCATAGGTGGCTTTTGAAGAAAATTTATCAAAAGAAGCAGTTGCAAACTGAGGAATCAACCCCTCAAAGATTCTGCTCAGCACCTTCTTTTTAACCAAACAAGTAAAAGCACATGCAGTACTCATTCTATTTAGATTATTATAACAAAGGACTTCTGTACCCCAAAACGCCTTCCAAGATCTATAACATGTGGAGAGAAAAATGTAGAAAAACTAGAATGGAAGAGTTTTGAGAATCTCAATTCTGGTGATTATTCGTCTTTAATACAGATGGAAATGAAGGGAGGGAGTGAAGTAGAATATGATCCCTAGAGGTCGCATTGCCTAATACCATGTCCAAAAACCTTAAGCTTAAATCTGCTGTGCTATGTTATATCAAATGTCATAAGACTATGTAAAGAAACAGGAGCAAAAAACTTCCTCTTTCTCTCCTTCGTAAAGCTCTACTATTTGGTTGAAATATTATCACCTACACACGTTTTCTAGGGCTTCTTAGCAGATCGTGTATTTCATTCCTTTTGTGAAATTGTTTTGTTATGGGCTAGTTTTGTATGTCAAGCGAACTTGGTAGTCAACAACATTTTTGCTTATGCACCTGTTTTCTCTCTTTTGATTTGCAAATTACAACTTGTCGAGCAATTTATTTTGTCTACAAAAACACAGTCATTTGAATGCTTCCGTTTGGCAAGACCTTGATAAATCATGCATGGCATAATTTTTTTTCATTTTTAATTTGTTTTTACTTCTTCTTGTTAACAACGGTGTAGGAAACTTTGGTGCTTGCCTTTGAATCAGTAAATGATAAGATGAAAGAAGTGGAGCTTCATGAAGATAGAGCCAAACTAGCTAAGGAAGACGTCTCCAACGCTGGCCTTCAGATCCTTGCCAAGGCAGAAGACATGAAAGAAAAGTTGAAACATGTGAAAGAAGCAAACGAGATGGTTATGTATTTGACCTTGCTAATTTTATTCATCTTAAGATTTTGACACAGAAAGCTGATATTATATTATTATCTAAATATGGCAGCAATCTGGAGAAGTTTATGGTGAAAAGTATACATTAGCAATCGAAGCTCGGGGGCTTCAGTCTCGCCTTCTTAATCTATCAGAAGAAAGAGATAAGACTCTCTCAATAATTGAGGAGGTAAATGTATAAGGTTTACTTATCTTGTTTCACTTTTCAACTAAGCAGTATTAAGAAAATTTATTGTTTGTATACATGTACATAGTGATTGCTGCCTATCCTTTTTATGATTGGTTCTGTTTATATTGTAACTGGTGGTTTGTGCTTCAGATTAATATTTTGTTGATGTTTGAGTTGTTTACTTTCATCCCACCGTTGAACTAGATCATGATTTTTTGTGAACGGATATTTAATTTGGGTAGGCAATATGGCCTGATCTAAATAGTGTAGAGCCCTATAACACCAAAGCTTGTGGAGTTTAAATAGTTTAGATCATAAATTTGACACCAATCCTGTTAGAAACTGTCCATGTTGATCCCACTTGATGCATACCAAAAAACTACAAAAAACATTGGATTTTTTGTTCACCAAAAACATTAATTTTTTTAGGTACTTTGAATGATTTATATGCCTTTCAAATGCATGGATCTTCTATTTAAGCATCAAAATATACATTGTTTCCTCTTTTGTTCCAAGGTCAAATCCTACTGATAGGATGCTAGTAAACTCATAATTCAAATATTTGTATGTTAGTTATTATTTGTTATACACGGTATATGTGTGAAATTCTGTGGCTAGAAGATGAATCTGTTAATTATTTGTTTTGTGTACAATTGTCTATATGTGATATTTTGTTCGTCAAATATCATAAACGATTAGTTTTTGTATGATATTTGTCATGGAGATGCTGTTATATATTGAAGCTTTAACTTTTACGGTGCAACTTCAATAATTTGGTTTCAGAAACAGTGTCGACCACTGGGTCTTCTTTTTGTTGAATTTTGTTATATATTTATTTTCTTTTTTCCCCCTTCCTTTTCATACTGTATTTTAATTGTAAACAATGAACTGTTAAGGAAATTTTGGACTTATAATTCCTTGACAAAAAAAGGGCATACAGGAGGCAGTAATTTGTTGTGAGAAAAGATGGGTTTTCATGCAAGGTCAGAAACTATGAATGTTCAAATTGGACAAACAAGTTATTGTTTGCAGACACAAAACTGGATGTTGTATATGGGAACCCTTCAAAATCAATACACAAGGACACATGCATATGAATGTCCGAAATCTAGACAAAAGGGACATCTGCATCTGCGTGTGTAGGGTTGGACCGTGGATCGATCCGGCCCAGCCCTCTGTAGGCTGTAACTCGGCCGAGCTCGTATATTACTGGGCCTGACCCGACCCAGGCTCCACCGCGGCCGTGGGCTGGGCCGGGTCCATGGCTAGGCCCCACATGCGGCCCGGCCCGGTCCGGCTCACGAACAAAGAGCTATCATAGGTCCATGTTTTCCATTATGCCCCATTCATAATATTACATTACATCCAACAGTTTATTCATTGTTCTCATATTACATATAAATAAATAAAGACAAAACTAGAGAGAGAAGGAATACACCATGTAAGATCTCATAGCTCAAGTCTATATCTGAAACATGAGACCTTAACAGTTTGTACACTCATAAACATCATTTATTACAATACTTAGAGTTTAAAATAATTAAAAAGTAAATTAAATATAATTAAACAAATATTGAAGGACACATGCTAGTCATGGGCTGGACTGGGTCCATGGTCAAACCTAGGACCACAATCCTCAGCCCAATCCACACTGACCCGTACGGATCTTAGTCCAACCCGGCTAGGTAGGAACCCGCCGGGCAGGCTGGGTCGCGGATTGGGCCTGATCCGGCCCATGCCCGCCCCTATGTGTGTGAATGTCCAAGATTTAGACATCAGAGACGTTAGGAACCCGGGCAGGCTGGGTCGCGGATTGGGCCTGATCCGGCCCATGCCCGCCCCTATGTGTGTGAATGTCCAAGATTTAGACATCAGAGACGTGGTGCCAAGAAATACGAATTTTCAAACTGGAGAATGAATTGTGATTTATAGACAACAACATAGGGTATCGGATAATCTCTATCTAAGTGGGTTTATAAATATCATATATTCAAGTATTCAACTTATATGTGTATTGTGTTGTTATTCACAAAGAAGGAATAAAAATAGTAAATGATCTATAAAACAACTAGTTTTCTATCAGAAAGAGCAAAAAGTTACTTCGATCTTGTAAGTTTTTTTTAGGTTTACAATGGCTTACACATTTGTAAGTGTGGGAAACCCACAGAATAGGATCTCAAAATTTGTGTAGCCACTGCAGGAATTCATGGATTACTGCAAATTAGCTTGCTATGGTTAACAGTGTAGCCTAAGACTTTAGGCATTAAAATAAAAATGTGTATCAATCAGCAATTCTGAAAAATAGTTAGAAATTACACATATGGATGATGCAAAGGTGTCTAAAATAGTGTTCCTGGCTCCAAAATTTTCACTTGTCTTGCTCTTAACTTAGGTCCTAGATTTAGCAGCAAGTAAACCAGACAATGAAGACGTGCAACTTCTCTTATTCAGATTCAATTTTGGATTACTTGCATATATATATCTATTAAATCATGCATATTTGCAGAACTACCCCCTAATCATCAACTTTAGGGAAAAATACCCCCCAAATCAACAACTCGTCAACTTTGATAGGCTAATACATATCTTCAATGGAAAAATATTAAAAAAGTAGCCAAATAGTTACTCATCATATCCAACAAAGTTGATTTGTTGATCTGGATGATAACTTTTCCCCCAAAGTTGATAACTTCGGGGGTAGTTTTGCAATTGTTGAGATTTGGGGAGTAGTTTTTACAAATAGGCATGATTTAAGGGGTACAAGCGCGCACACGCACAAAAACTCTTCAGTTTTGACTCATGCATCCATCTCATGGTTTTTAGATTGACCGAACTCTGGAGGTGCGCCTAGCCGCTGCCAAAGAAGAAGAAGCTGCGGCTGAAAAAGAGAAGCTTGAAAGGGAAGAAGCTGCAATCAAATTTCTTAAGGAGCAGGAAGTCATCATGGAGGAACTAATGCAAGAGTCAAAAAAACTTCAACAAGCAGCAGAGGAAAATACCATGGTATTTGCTACTGATACAAGCATACATATTTATACTGTAAATCATGTGCTTTTACATAAGAGTAAGTCTTTGCGAGTAACTGACTTTTTTGCTTGCTGCCATGCTTCAGCTGAAGGAGTTCTTAAATTACTGTGGCAAATTTGTTGATGGATTGCAGTAAGTTTCATGTTCCCTTCAGTTAAGAAGTTATATTGCATTGCATATGATTGTGATTTACATAAGTTCTCAAATTTAACTCGTCCGGCTCTTCCACATGCATAACAGTAATGGACAATAATCACTTGGCTTACCTATATTTTTTTCAGTTAACCCATAAAAAAGAGTTTGGTCTTTCAGATTTGGAAAGTACTTAGGTAAAACAGTTTTGGTTTTTATATATAGACCCCTTAAAGATGCATATTTGCAAAATTACCCCGCAAATCTTCAACTTTGGAAGAAAACATACCCCCAAATCAACATATCATCAATTTTGTGGATATAGTAATTGACTATGTTGTTGATATTTTAACATTGCAATTACAAATTAATATATCAAAGTCGATGATTTGTTGATTTGAGGGTATTTTGTTTCTCCAAAGTTGATTTGGAGAGTAGTTTTGCAAATATAGAGATTTGGGGCCTAGTTTTGCAAATACATATGACCTAAGGGGTCTACATACAAAAAACCAGACAATTTTCAATCAACTGGGTAATATTGACCTGTGTAGTAAGAATATTCATTGCCAAACAAGCTAAATGTCTCCACTGTATTTTGTTGAACAGGGGAGAAATTGCGGTTGTCTGTGGGGATGTGAAGCTGCTTAAAGAAAGTATTGATGGTCGTCTCAGGAAAACTCTGCCTCCTATAAGCTCCAGCTTGTCCTCTTCATCAAGCTCCTCATCTAATCTCAGGAGCTCTTCTGAACGAATTCTTCATACTGTGGAGCTGGGAGAGAGTTCAATAGGTAATATTCTAGAAGCTCCCGAGAACAAGCAGCTTCAAAGCAATGCAAATGATAACAATTCAGATGATGACTGGGAAATTTTTGGATGATGTGGTTCAGCTGCACCCCTGTAACTCCTTGATTTTGAGAAGTACCTTTTAGGAGTTATCGCAGCCTAGACTTGTATATATAAATTAAAAAAATAAGGGTTTTGAACTCTCCATATCATCTTTTGTGTATAGTATTAGTCTTGTTATAGCTATGTGGTATGTTAGACTTGTGCAAGTGGAATTAAATGTTGAATGCTTGGGACTTGTTCATAGTATTACTTTGTATTAATAATCCAGTACTTATCTCGAGAGAACCACAGGGAAGTAGACATAAGGGTTATATTTTCATATGACATTTCTGATTGGCATATTTTGATGAGTTGTATATTATGTCCCTTTGTGCAAATGGATGGGGGCTAAGCTTTCTTTTTGCTTATTCTTTCGATCGTTTCCTTCGTTTCAAATGATTGATACAGAGGCTATGATTGATGACACAAGAAGGGGGTGTTTGTTTCCCCTTTTTTTTTTTTTTGGATATAGGGTGGATTATAAATTCTAAGATGAAAAAGTGGTTTTTTTGAGTTTATGGATTCCTTAAGCTTTGTTTGATTCAAAATAACATTTGAGTTATTGAATACTCAAATAATAAAAAACTAATATATTATAGTATTTGTGAAATCTTCTCTTTGAGAGAGGATTTAGGCTAGATTTCAAATTCTAATATTTGTAATGCTACAATTTGAGTTTGAAACAAACAAATACAAATTATAGGATTACATATCTCAAAATATTGATGAAACAAACAACAATTTAGAAATCCCAACCCATGTTAAAAACATATGGATTTCAAATCCTAAAATTATAGGACTTGAAACAAACACCCCCCTAAGAATATCTAGCATCAGTTTTTGACTGTCAATTGCTTCTTTGTTCAGATTTTGATTGATGAAATCAGCTGTTATTGTTTTCTTTGATCTATGGTTCTATAAGACCTAATATTTTGCTAATCCACCTATCCTCCAGTTAGGGATGTCAAATGGGTGGTTTTTGTTGGGTCTTGGTTGGGTCATAAATGTGTGGGCACATTTATGATCACTTGAACATTTATGACCCATTTAGCATTTGCTAAATGAGTCACTTCTTAACCAACCATTTACTAAATGGATGGTTCATGGGTGACGCAATAACTCATTTAGTTATGATTATGATGCTTCTATATATTTGTAAGTTTCAGGGATCTACTTGCAAACTTTCAGGGGCAAACTTTCAGGGGGTTTTCTACAAACTTTTAGGGGGTTTTTGCAAACTTTTAGAGGGTTTTCTACAAACTTTTAGGGGGTTTTTTGTAAACTTGTAGGGGGGTTTCTACAAACTTTCAGGGGATTTCTACAAACTTTCAGGGGGTTTTCTGCAAACTTTTAGGGGTTTTGGCAAACTTTCAGGGGGTTTTCTATAAACTTTCAAGCGGTTTTCTGCAAATTTTCACGAACCTGAAAACTTTGGGTCATATTACGTGAAAGTCCCTAAGCTTTGTTTTTCCTCCTAAATTTCTAAATTTTTCTATGAAACTCTCCAACTTAAATATTTTCAATATTGAATCATAATCTCTGTCCAATGTTAGTTAACGTTGCAGTAGAAGAAATCTATGTAATATCTTTTGAATTACAAAAACATCTTTTCAAACATTGAATGAGTTTGGAAGAGAAAAACATATTAGAAAATTAACCTAAAATTTTCAAAATTTCCTAACGTTAGCAACAAGTACTCGGTGGAAAATAAACAAGATTTAGAGTTTCTTAAACAAGAGAGAGAAAAAAAACAAGGGGGCATCAGAACAGCGCACGTGGAGAAGAAAGTTGACTAGTTGAGGGTTTCGTTGGCTAAACTTGAGAGAATGGGGTTTCATGAGAAAATTAGGGGAGATTTAGCGGCGAAAATGGCCAAAGTTCAGGGGGTTTCATGAAATTAACCTTTTCATAAAAGTATTCACAAGTCGAGAACTAGAGCAAAACTGAATGTCCAGTCCACCAGGGGGTCAAAACTAACTTGTCGTGTTGTCAAGAAGACGTCAAAGTCTCATCACTTGCTTCCAAAGTCTAACTACATGACCTAATAGTTCGGGTTCTTTTAATTTAATTCCTTTTTGCTTTTGTTGTTTCCATTGGTTTTCTGATCTTGGAAAGGTTTGTATAGTAGTAATTAAATCATAAGAAATGAAGAAAATTTCATAATTGTAAATGGTCCTCTCTCACCATATATGTGATCATAACTACATGACCTAATAGTCCTCATAAGCTTTTGAATTTGACTAAAGTCTAGTATGTGTTAATTTGTCAAGGGGAAGAAAGCAAAGCTTATCTTCTTTTTTTCCCCTATGGGAAAAGTTGCAAAATACCTGATATTTTTTTTCCCTCATAATTCATGTTGTTAGTAAATAGGACACAAATTGATTTAAGTGAGTTTTGGACAGAAGTGATGAAGGCATCAAAGACCAACTATATATCCTTGAGGGTATTTTTTGCAATTTTTAAAAGTTTGAGGGTGTTATTTGCAAATTTGATATTTATAGGGGACTACCGAAATTTTTTAGATTTCATGTGTCATTTGCAAGTTTAGAAAATTCTAAGATTGTTTTGTAGTTTTGAACTCTTGAGGGTGCTTTTTGTAATTTTTAAACTTTGAGGGTGCTTTTTGTATATTATAAATTTACAAGGGGCTGCTAGTAATTTTTGGATTTCATGTGTCATTTGTAGGTTTTGAAATTTCAGGATGGTTTTGTAATTCTAAACTATGGAGGGTGTTTTTCTAAAAATTTAAAACTTTAAGGGTGTTAATTGCAAATTTTAAATTTATAGGGACTATTAAAATTTTTTAGATTTCATGTGTCATTTGCAAGTTTAGAAAACTCTAAGATTGTTTGGTAATTTTAAAGTGTTGAGGGTGTTTTTCTCATTTTCTACAACTTTTAAGGGTATTTTTTGTAAATTATAAAATTTTAGGGGGCTGTTGATAATTTTTAAATTTCATGTGTCATCAGTGAGGTTAGAAAATTTTGATAGTTTTTTTTATAATTTTTAACTCTTGATGGCGTTTTTATAATATTTTAAACTTTAAGGGTGTTTTTTGCAACTCTCAAAATTTTAAGGGGTTGTTAGTCATTTTAAGTGTTTTCTATAATTTTTAACTATTAAAAATAAATTTTGTAATTATTGAAGCGTTGAGGGTGTTTTTAAAACAATATTCATCTAAATGGGCAAATGGGTGGGTAATAACCCGCCCATTAATGACTCATTTATCTTTAATAGAAACTATACTCACCTATTTATGGCTTATTTAACTAAATGGGTTGGTTTGGATGGTTCATTTGGCGGGTGGGTATGGGTGGGCAATTGGTTTTGGGTCCATTTTGTCATCCCTACGTCCAGTTTACTGATTTTCAACTTCATGTTCTTGCCATCATTTTAAACCGAAGATTTGATCGTTTGTTCCCCGCTGAAAGTACTAAACAAGCTGACTGCTGATGGTAATGAACAAGCTAATAAGAACTAGTCTTATTTTATGATTTTGAAATATGTTCTTTCCAATTTTTTTCCCTTTTTTTGCTAGGAGATGGTGAACGTTGCTAATGAGACACGAAAATTTGAGTATTTATTTCGACTTGGTTATTATGCCTTATTAATTAACATGTTCAGAAGCTTCATCACGAATTGAGCGTGACAGGTTTATCTACATTAATTTATCATTGTTTTAATTATGAAGCTTGTAGTTTAATCTTAAACATGTGACATCCTAGATGTCAAGTATCTTTCATGATAGAAATGTCTCCAGCAAGATAACTAGCACGTATGTTAGGAAAAATTCTCTTTATTTTGCCACTGTCAACTCATTTCCTTGATACCTTATCGGTTTAAGCATCGAAATTTCTTTGTGCAAGGTTCTACTCTGTCTAATTCATCATGTTCTATCAAAATCAGCGTCATGTACAAATAAGGAGGAATATACTTAAAAGGAGAAATTATTTTGGAACTAAAAGTCGAGGACTAATTATCTGAAGAGTAATGTTAAGTGTATTATACTTTTCATACTATTTCAGCACTTCCACAAACAAACAAATCACTTCTTGAAAACCGTAAGAATATAGAAGTAGTGACTCATCATGATGACTCTACTCTTTCGTTTGTGATAGTGCCAAAGTAGTACGAAAAGCGTAACACACTTACCCTAACTGAACGGTAATGTACAAGCATACCAGCTGTACAAGCATTTTATCGAGCCAGCAAACCAAATAAATATACTTTTTTTTTTTCACAAGCAAAACACTATGTTTTATTCCCACAATAACTTTACAAATACAAATATACACTCTAAAACCTTCTTCTTAACCCCATATTACAAGAACAAAAACCATTAAATACAAAAACTATACCTTTACATCCAAATTCATTTCAGTTACATCCAAATTCATTTCAGTTGCCCTCTACTTCATCCTGAGGCTCCGTCGTAATGGCCCTCAACTTTTTGTACGTATCCGAACACTCGAGAGCAAACTCTGACAAAGCTCGAAAGAGTTCAGGCAAATGCGACTTCAGGCTCCCTACTGACTTCTCTCTTACCTGCTTGCAAGTTCTTCGATATGATTCCTCCTCATTTCTAAGCTTCAGCATCAAACCCTCAACCACAGCCTTTCTCTCTGCAACTACTTCATCATCTTGATTCGGATCAGCAGCAGTGGCAGCAGCAACAC